ATCGGTAGTTGAAAAATAATTGTTCGTGGAAAAAGAATCCTGTTATTATTTGTAGCTTCCCAGACCGTAAGTATTAAATATTGTTTTAATCTAAGAGATTTAGCCAAGAACAAAAACATCCCTTTCCGGTTGTCTTACCCGTTAAGATTCATGAAAATTTTTTCCGGCTACCGTGGCGTGCCACTTGAACTCAGACACGAATACCTTTATTTTCCGCGACACCGCTTGTCAGTCATTCATAACATAATGACAAGATGGACAGCTCGAGGCACAACTGTCTGATGGAAAATTAATAGAGACAAGCACTGCACTGTAAGTTACATGAAGGAAGAGTACCATGAACGGAAGTGCCAGGTAGGCCGACATCCCAGTGGGTATCGATTTTGAAAACCATCCGTATCCAGGAATCTGGGCAGACTGCATCGAAACAAAACATTAAGCTGTCTGCTTCGTCGTTACAAGATTGGAAATTTCGAGCCTTGGCAGAAGTTGATGACGGTCATTGTCAAGTAATGAAGCCATTTGTACTCATGCTTTGGAATATTCACCTCAGTTAGATTTGATACTTGTGATCGATAGTAGATAGTGTCAGGAGGGACGTCAGATTTGTTGTCATCGTTTGTAGATGGCATTGAGGTTCTTAATCATTTGATGAGTATTACAAGATATCGGAAAAGAAGCATCTCTTTTGCTTCGGATCGTTTGCTGTGATACAGCGTTAATCCCATGTCAACATATTTGAGGTCGTCAGTTCTCGTTCCAAGGCTTCTGATCAGAGCACTTGTTATCTGTCTAAACTCGTACCGGAAGGAAGCAACTCGGGGACGGCATAAGTATTTATTATGTCGATAATATGGGAACCCAACATCCATAAGGTAGGAAAAATTCCAGCTGCCATATGCTCTAACTGTGAACGGAATCGTCGTAGTACCATCCATACGCAAAAACATCGCATTGGTTCTATTTGTTGCTGTGGGTGTATAATCTTACTGAGAACATGATGTTCAAGCATGTTTGAAAACAGTGCCACATTACCAATTAATTCAAGCAGATACTGAAAGATCTCGTTTATATTTATTTAGTTTTATATTGCTTCAAATAAAATACAGACTAAGAACATGAAGTTCATCTGTACAACGAGGAGCACCGGTTTGTGGTTACGATTGTAACGGGTCATCAACTTGATGTTTTCCAAGGCGAATCACCACAGATAACATCACTGACTAACCACTCTTTCCCATTGCCTCGAAATTCCAATGTCAATAACTTGTACTGATTCTGCTCCTTCTTCTGTAAGATGAATTCGGTAGTGATTGGGCGGCGAAATAAAGTAATGATCTAAACAACCGTCTCCTGTTTATGAATGCAGCTATCTAGCCACCACAGTAGATCTTAGACTGAAAAGACTGGAATATGTATAAGATGTCGATATCGGTAATTTGAGGGAATGAGAAGAAGTCGTTAGCACCATCGTGGAAAGTTCATATCCGTTGGAAGGTCGAAGGTCGTTTTCATTACACTTTCGTTTCTGGCGCCGTTGTTTTTATGAACTAAATGGTGGAGCATTCGTTTATCTTAATTTCCGTGCCATTAGTCAGGAATGGCTTACTTTATCTTCAGAGTTGACAGGGGCTATGTAGTAAACAAAGTCTTTAGTATCTGTTTCTTTTACACGAGGTGATACTCGTTTATTCGGAAGGAAGAAAGGCGAGCTACCCAAGACGGTAATCGAACCTGACACTTTTCGGTTCTAAGTCAGTGTCTGCTATACCGATAGTGCAAATCCTGCCATGATACTATTACCTGCATAAAGGGTTGCGCAATGAAAACGGGAATTTTGCGTATTGCTGGCATTACGAGCAGTCGATGCCAAGACTGCTTATGATAGGTGCAATTACTTCCTCTTTCTTGATGGTTCGATTGATAGTCGGTACCTAGTTACTGCGCTTAGTATTACCATGAACTGTGTTAACGGTAGTGAAGGAAGTAAAGGTCACTTTTGCACATGTGACACAACGTAGCGTTGCAGATGACATTTCTAGTGCTACTAGAATTTGAGGTAAGCGATTTTATGCGCGTTGTTAGAACCATGGCGAATTTTCCGATCCGTGGTTGACAGCATCAAATCAAGCCGATGATAAGGCATTCCATCTGCGACTGTGGTAGTATTGTCATAACAGATTAATGATTCTGCCGGTGTGGTAGCGAAAAGCCGGTGTGCCAGATGAAATAGTTCATGGTGAGATAGTTCAGATGAGAAGTTTTTCATAACTCTTGTACAGCGGTCTTACTTCTCAGCGCTTTCATGTGGTTCAAGGCGCACTTACCGTACAGAGAACAATCGAAAGATGCATCGTACGTCGTATGGTGCTGAACGAGTGGCCGAGATGCCGAAAGTTGGTGGCTTCTTTTGCGAGAGTACCATTGACAATGGTTCGCCGCATTAGACCGATGGCGAAACTCGACGATAAGCATCACGCGAGCCTACGAGATTAACATGCGAAGGTTTCCACTTCCGTTGGATTAACTAAGAATGCCTGATGGCGGCCGTCGGGCGATACACGGTGCCGGATTATTTTCTTCACTCGCTCTGGCCTGCTTTCGCTGCTCATCTGATATGGCGATTAGGAGGTAATGTATTAGTCTCTTAGGTTCATCTTTCGCTGCCGCTGAAGCATCCCCTCTCCCCTCATTTGTGTACTCGGTTGGATTTGTCTTCGACTCGCGTTTCCGTACTTGCTTACCTTTGGTCGGTCGAGTCGAAACTAGTTGTACCAACTGAATCGAACAATTCCGGTTTTTTTCGCAAATACGTTGAGTCAGCAGTTAGGTGAGACGTTTAGACAGCTGGTCGTTTGCATGCAAGAATTAGAACTCGAACTCTCAGCCCCGTGTTGCCTGCTGTGCGTATGGAATTGGTGGGAGTTACGAGCCTTGGAAACAGTTTTAGTTTTAGCCTACGTTCGGTACTTTCGTTTAGTGCTCGACGTTTTTTGCGCCCATCTGTTTGACAACATGATCGAATCCGTTGCTTCGGGTACCTCAGCTTAGTTCTGGGTTCGTGGCTGACTTCCATGGTTAAAATCAACGAAGTCTCCACTGAAATGTTATGAACATGTAACCTTTTCCACTAGTGCGGTTGTCGGAAGATGACTAATGACTGAAAGTATAAAGCTGGTGAGTCTTTACGATGAACGACGACATGCAGAGCAGAAAGTAGTGTGGTCGAATGATACTCTCAGTGTGAGATGGGACGATTGCGTTTACTGCAGGAAATACGATTCTAATTTCGTACGGCTCTTCAGCAAATTCTGTCTTCTATTTTTCTTTCTTCTCTTTCTTTCTGTCTGCAGTAGTTCATCAACAGCAGGGAGACACGTTCCAGTTGCTCGTTGCTACGTCACTTTTGAATGTAAATTTGTTAGCTGGCCAATTAGTCGGTAGAGTGTTGTTTTTTCGTTGCATTCGTCATCTTGAGGCCGTGTTCGTTGGCGTACCAATGAACTTACGCCTTCGTAAAACTGCCCCGCCCTTTGTGAGTGAGTGACAAGTGATACGACGACGAAG